TAGATTGTATGTTGATAATATTATTATAAATATATAAATTAAAAACCCTTGATTTATAGATATTTTAGTAATAGTTCTAAGTTTCTACAAGTCATTTTGTATTTTCAAAATCCCCTCTTGACTCTTAAGTCATATGAAAATAGTTCCAAGAGATTATATCTTCACAAGAGATATAATAGAATAATAAAAATAATAAATAAACATGTAGGGCTTCTGAAGAATACCAGTGAAAAGCTTGTAATCTCAAACCAGTTGAATACATTTAAATTTGTAATTATTATTTTTCTTATGAAATTACTCTTTCCTTATTTATAAGATGTTTTAAAATTAGAATCTTGCTATATGTTTTCCTGCTGTTTTACTTAATATGTCTTGGGAAGAATGACCATATATTAAAACATAAGAACCTCTTGGAGTCTTGAGATTGTTAATTATGTTTTTATAACTTAAAAAAACATACAAAAAATGTTTAAAATTAATAAGCCATCATACTTTTCGGGGTAAAATATTTAAATAGTGAAGCTTATCCAAACGAAAACCACCTAAATGATTCCTGCTCTGTTCAAGAGTGTTCTGCTTTCCAAATTGCTCAAACTTTTCCTGTAACTGCAGTACTTGGCAAGGCCTTTATGTTTTAACACTATGATTCTGTACACCCTAAAATGCATGTATTAAACGCTCTAAAGCTTTCATGCAAAACAACAAACACTAGTGATTAACAGAGGATATGAAACTCTATTTTGCTTAGTTGTGTTAATCACAGGGTTTCAGAGAGATGTAAAACAGATACGTAAAGAACAGATATTTGGGGACTTTGCTCTTGTTTTGTTGTCATATGAATCTTATCTCATCACTTCCCTATTTTCTTTCAGCATTTTAGTAGCTGTGTAAAGTACAAGTGTTATATCAAAATTCTATGTTATGTGCATCAGTGTATTAATTCTACTAATTCCACAAGTGAAATTACCTTTCACATACACCATGTGTACAAATTTCCAAAATATTTGAAAGGTGAAAGAAATCTACACAGCTACTTTTTCTAATCTGGGACAAGTTTAGAACTCAATCACTTGATATTTCAGGGGAAATATGCAGATAGATACATGACCAGTAAAATAGCAACATAAGGTCTTTCTGGAGAATTCAAGATAAGTCTTGTCAAAAACACCTAAAGCACAGGAATAAAACGAAAGCATATCATTAACATCACCAGCGGTCATAAGTTTGGTCTTCTTGTCTTTGAAATGACATGCATAAGAGTTTATGAAGTAGTTCATATTTATAATGATTATGGAAGAAAAGTACACAAAATATAAGAGTATTGATGAACTGATTATTAAAAGTTGTGTACTTTCTATCTTTAATACATCTGTAAAAAGCCCATATAAATTCACTGTTGTTAACAACACATAATTCTATCTGCATTCTAATTAATGGAAAATGTCATATTTGAATAACGTCTCTTATTTTATGTTTTGCTATTGGTAGTAAACTGAAAATATAAACCAGAATCTAAGGAACAAAATTTATAGTCTTGAAAATTATATGGAAAGGCAAATGACCCTTAATAATCAACATAATACTGATGGATAAGAAAAAGTCAGCGGACACTATCCAACTTCAAGGACTGTTATAAAGCTAAATAATTAGTATCATCAAGTGTTGGTAGAAAAATATACAAATAAATCAGCAGAACAGATAAAGAGCACAGAAAAACAGCCATATAAATATAGTCCACTAATATTCAATAAAGAAGCAAAGCTAATAAATACAGTGGAGTAAAAACAGTTTTTTCAACAAATGGTGCTAGAATTATCAGACATCCACATACAAAAATAATAATAATTCTACACACAAATCTCACACCCTTCATAAAAACTAACTCAAAATAGACCATAGATGCAAAATGCGAAATTATAAAATTCTTAGGAGATAACATCTTAGGAAGAAAAATCTAGATAATTTTGGGTTTGGCAATGACTTGTCAGTTATAACACCAAAGGCATGATCTATGAAAGAAATAATTGATAATTAGTACTTCCTTAAAAATAATAAACTTATGTTCTGCAAAATATAATGTCAAGAGAATGAGAAGACAAGCCACAGACTAGGAAAAAGATTTGTAAAAGATATATCTGATGAAGAACAGTTATCCAAAAAAATAAAAAACCCTTAACACTCAACAATAAGAAAATTAACAATCTGACTAAAAATAGGCCAAAGACCTTAACATCTCACTAAAGAAAAGATACAGAGGATGAAAAGCACATAAAAAGCTGCTACACACCATAGGTCATCAGAGGAACATAAATTAAAATAAACCAAAATCCAAAACACTGAAAATACAAAATATTGGTGAGGATGTGGAGCTACAGGAATTTAATTCATTACTGGTGGGAACATAGTACGGTATAGCCACTTTGGAAGACAGTTTGGAAATTTCTTACAAAACTAAACATACTCTCATTATAAGATCCAGAAATCATATCCCTTGGCATTTGCCTGAATGAGTTGAAAACTATGTCTACCCAAAAATGTGCACTCAGATGTTTACAGAAGCTTTCATTATAATTGCCAAATTTGTAATCAACAGATGAATGAATAAATACATTGGTACGTCCAGACAATGGAATATTGTTCAGCGCTAAGACATGGAGGGATCTTTAAAGCATATTTTTAAGTAAAAGGAGCCAATATAAAAAGGTTGTATACTGCATGATTCCAACTATAAGATATTTTTTTAAAGGCTAAACTATGGAAACTAAAAATATCAGTGCTTGCCATGTGTTGATGGGGAGGGAGGAATGGGGGGGGCCGAGTAGAGCAGATTTTTAGGGCAGTTAAACTACTGTGTAGGATACTGTCATGATGACTACATACATGCATCATACATCTGTCACAGCCCACAGAATGTGCAAACTCGGAGGGAAGAGTAGTGTAGCCGATGGACTTTGAGTGACAATAATGTGTCACTGTGAACTCACCAGTCGTAGCAAATGTATAACTCTGTGGGAGAAGGTGAGAATGGGAGAAGCTATGCATGTGTTGGGGGCACAGGCTGTAGAGGAAAATCGTTGTACCTTCCTTGACTTTTTGCTGTGAACCTAAGACCGCTGTAAAAACTGTCTGTTAGAAAGTGCTAATTCAGAGTGATGAATTTTCCAATTAGTTTCCTATACTTAGGAAGTACTAACTTCAAAACATTTGTTTTTCAATCTTAATAAGCTACCACTGGAGCGTATGTATCTGGCAAAGTGTGTGCAAGCGCAAGACAGGACAGAATGGTATCTTTCAATATTTCTATGAATTAAATGATATTCAACATTGACATCTCATAAAATAGGATGTATGCTTAGCACAGGGCATTATAGTTAAGAACACGTTATTTTTTTAAAAAACGAACACTTTTTTCAAATGTAATTAACAGGAATCTTTGTAACAAAAAAAATACTTATCCTCCCAATGCACTTATTTTATCTAACTTTGTCGAGACTTTGTGTCAAACATCAAGGGAATCAATGTTGAATAAAATGATCTAGTTATAAGAATGCAACTTAATTGTGCACAGAATAACACAATCCAAGAAACTATCTGGAGACATAACAAAGAAATGATCAGTCTTTGAGGACAGCATCTCAATAACAAAATAATGAAAACACAAGCCCAGTTACAATTATAGCATATAAAGCAAACTATTTTTAACTCTGGGCTTAAAAACCATTTTCTTGTCACCGTATTCAGTTACTTCCCTGAACTTGCCCTTCCTTTCCACATCTACTGATCATACCCAGTGTTTTTATCATCTTATGAGTAAATTAGTTTAAACAGCCTAACTGGTCTTTAGCACCTCTCCTTGCCAATACAGAGTCTGAAGTTACAAGATTTACCTCTTATATTCACACAGCTAACTGTGCTTAATGCAGGATAAAATTGATTCTCTTCCCAACCAGATCACAAGTAATTTTTCCAACTTTGTATTACAGTGCTTCACAATATTCCACAAGTTTACTGTATACTTAATCATTTCCTGCCTTGGCTTGCTCTAACGATGCAATAGATTTTCTTTGTTTGGTTTTCTCTTTACCCCGACAATTGTTATTCTATTTTTAAAGTCGGACTCAAATGTTAGACTTTTAAGACTCCCTTGTTAACCTGAGGGACAAATTCTACACTACTGGCAACATACCCCCTTATCATTTGTTTATGCCTTGGCTGGTTGTGCAATGCTTGTTTCCACCATAAAGCCTATGCATCCATTTAAAGCAGTGATCAGTTCTTTTTTGTTCTCTGTATCTACAGCCTATGACACTAGGTAGATATTCAAGAAATTCACATTATCGCTTATCATTGTGTTATATATTTCACACACACACAACTAAATTTGGCCTTTTGCTCATTTGCCACTTTTAAACAAGAGTCCATTTCTTAGGTTTTTTTTTCTGTGTTTAAGTTAAAAAAGGGAAATGTTGACTTAATTCATAAAAATAGCATCTGTAACTTTTGTGGGGAAGCATTAAGGAATATTACCTCACTCAGCTTTCTGTATCTCCAGTGGGGCTCTTAACTACAGATGGGATTTAATTGCCCCTTAAATATAGTTAACATTTATGTTTGCACTATACTGCCCACTAGCCATTTAGCACTCATATTGTTTTCTTACCCAAAATTCACCAAATTTACTATCAATTGTAAATTGATTTACACAAAATCAATTTACACAAAAAATTTCTTTAACACAAAAAATATATAAATCAGTACTTTCTTCATGAGCAGATATACGTAAGTGCCAAGTTCAAATATTTGCCTTTAGAAGAAAAAGAATGAGCTAAGATATTATAGTGCATAAACAAAACTCAGGTTGGTGAATAGAGTAGCCGCTCTAAGCGAACAGAAATACCTATCCGCTGGGAGACTTTACGAGTCTTCTCCCTGTCTAGAGAAAATGTGTAGTTATGTGTTCCATTGTGCCAAGGACAGACTGGTCCTTTCCAGACACTTACCCTCTGACAGCATGAATAAGTCTCAGTGATGGATAGGCAGTTCGCACTTTCAGTTTATTCTTAAGGATTAATGCATTAACCCACTCCACGTGCTTCTCTCCTCCTTTGACCATGAAAGCGGGGATCCAAAGGACACTGTCATTCAGCATGGAGAGCCTATGCACAAATTTTTCTCTGTCACTCTCATTCCGAAAGCCTCCAAAGGCTCTTTGTACAACTGATGGATTCATGGTAATAAAATCTGATTTAGTTCCCACATCTGCAGCAAACTCCACCACAGGGGCTAGATTACACCTGAAGAGAAAAAACAGTAACAGACAAATGAAAAATAAATATGAAACATCCACTCCTGAAATGGTGTGTATGGAAAGAAGGATGAGAAATGAGCATAGCTTTTTTTTTTCCTTTCTTAAACCAGGTGGGGGGAAAAAAGATAATCCGGTAAAATTAGATTTTTAATAAATCACCACACATAAGGAACACTGTCTTCAATAAAGATGCGTGCTCCTGATGCAGTGCTCACATTGTCATTTATACTAATTGCACCTGGTGTCTGAGAATTCTCTTTGCTTTTATCATCATAAGACCACACCATATGAATTCCCAATAGGTGGATTCACGATGGTAACTTCATCTGCTCTCATGCAGGAGGGAATCCAAACCACACACTGCTCTGTAAGTAAAACACATTAGACCTGATATTCTACTCTGCATGATGTGTCAAACGTATTTGACAACTTCATAAATGTAAATAAGTGATGATGGCTTTTCTGTACCCTGAGGTTAAAGAGAGACCATAATTCCATATAGCATTTTATACACACATATTTATAATTGCCTTCTAGAGGCCTAAATGGGAAGTAAAAGTAAGAGAAAGGAATTCTAGTGTTCAAGTTGCCATTTTGAGATGTTGATAATGTTGAGATAATGCACAAAAGTCATTCCTATTGGGTCCAATATCTTTCTGTTTCTTTTAGGACATCCTCAAAATGATCGTTTTTGTTGCTCACGGGCACACGCCCTCTGTGGAGGAGGGGCAGAATCCTTGCCCTGCTCTTACAACTGAAGCTCTGGGGTGTCCCCGAGTGCCTGGGCCTGATTCTGTTCTTGTAAGCTGATTTTATTCTTGTACTAAAAGAAAGCCTCAGAAACCACCTTGAATTTTTCTTCATCTAATCTGTGATGCTTTTTCGATTCTGTCACATGAATCTTTGGATTCTTAAAAAGTAGTCTTTTAGTTTAAAATATTTTAATTTGCTAAACAAAGGTAAAAATTAGTTGAGTAGTGAAGAATTAGATTTTTAGCAAACAAGATTTTGCTAATTTGGAAAAAATAATTTGATTCTATTCAATCTACACCTTCATGAAACACACACATGCAGACATGTCACATAAAATTTCTTCTTCTTTGCCTTTTCTTTCATTATATCAGCCTTTTAGGGGAAGAAAAAATAAACTGATTTCCTCTCTGCATTTTACAGGTTTGACTGCATTATATAAGTTCCTCATATTTCTTTTCTTTTGCTATATTAATTAAATTTTCAAAGAAGATACATTTAATTAAAAAGTAAACTGTATTCTGCTGTTAAAAACACTGGCTTGCATACCCTTCCTTATCTCTTTCAATGAATACATGTTATTACTTCTTAGATCTCTGAAAACATTTAGCTACCACAACAAATATCTTTCATCTTACACAACTAAGAAAAGCCTGTATTATCTAGGACGAGCTACTGAGAGAAAACAAATAAAAATTAATACATTATATTATTTAGAGATAAACATTTCAAGTTATATATACTTAATCACACCCACTATACTATATGAGATTGTATTTTTGTCTTCATTCGTGATACATGCACTATTTGATATTAGATATTATTCATTCCTGCCACAGTCAGATTATTATGAATGGAATTGCCCTGGAAAAGAACAGCTACAGGTGAACAGAAGCCAACGTGAACACCTAACAGTGGAACTCATGGAAGACTGAGGATACAATGATTGTTGGAGTCTGAAGATGCACTCCACACCAGCTTTAAAGATAGTCTAAACTTCTAAGCAAGCAGATTATAAAATGACTTTGGATACTGTGGGGAAAATGCATTCAGAACATCTTTATCACAGGCATTCTATTTCCTTAGGTAAAATATAGATAACACTTGCTGATATTGCATTTAACATGTTCCTGTCAGGAGAGGTGGCTTTTAGATATACCTTTCTGCTATAACAAATTCTCAGCAATTCTTTTCAGATTTTCACTATGGAAAGAGCAATATCTATACTTCACTTTGTTTATACTTATAAAAACAACCTGAGTCAACCCAGTGTAAGAGAACAAAAATAACATTATACTAAATTATCTTTTCAGAAAAAAAATATCATGTAAATACTTTATGTTTTTCATTACTTTTTCTTATCACATACTTAAAAGTGATTCCACCCCCAAGTTCACTAACACCACTCCTTTAGGACTGACTGAGCATGTTTCTGAAACAGGAATGTCTGGCCACATGTCAATGCAGAGCTAAAAAGACTTTAATCAATAAAGTTGGGCACCAAAAAGCAGGACTTTCTGCCATGGAAGCAAAAGGAAACTAATAGAACAACACTTCTGGAAATGGGATTGATCTAGAAGACAAACCAACATCTCTGATACAATCAAAGAATTTTAAGTGACTGTGGTGAAGGGAACCGGGAGATCAGAGAATAATTAATCACATGAGCTTTATTATAAAATTCTTATGACCTACACATAGCCTAACCAGGCTTTGTGAGGGACAGAAATAGGGATATTGAAAATAGCATGACAAAAGGACACATAGTAAAATATAACCTGTTCTGGTTCCAGGAGTCCAGCTGGTTGATTTTCCTTGGAGCAACTATATCTAAGTTTTCATTGGCAGGAAAGATTAACATCATGTCCATATGTGGCCAGTAAATTAACTACTCCATGGTTGAGTCAGATATTTAATCATATAATTAGCTGCGTGCCACATAATCAGGGCACACATTAAGGAAGCCAAAATAACAAACCAGAATAACGAACCAGCTGTGCTGTACTCCAGCAGTTCAGCCGACTTGTTGTGAACCTCGTAATGATACTAGTAGCAATGCTGCTGATTGAGCAAGATCATGAATAGATTTCCAATCAAATGTTCTTAATCTTCCTTTCTTTAAAACTTCTTAGGGATCATAATATTTAAAAGTAGCCAGAATGTGTAGCGAGCATTTACGAAGTAACATATCACCTTAGACTTTATTATTAATCTCATCAAAGTGAAGAGTGGACCATTTTTAAATGATGAATTTTGTTGTGAGTCAAAACTACTGAGTGCACAAGAATATTTTAAAGCTCTATTTCTCTAACCAATAATTTTTTTCACTATCCAACTAGTTTTGACATATTAAAACCTGAAGACATATATGCAGAATTAGGTATGTTGAACAAACTCCCTGTTTATTCTAAGCTGACCAATTTTCAATTTATTTGTGTTAATTTTCCATCATTGCTGAAAAACCTGAAGAAATGCAGCTGGTCCTCTTGTTCTCTAGGCCTCTGAAATTTCCTCTGTGATCTCACACTAGATGTGATTGCCTTTCAACAGTCCTTTGATGTAGAACTCAAGGTGCTTCTATTTATTTCAAGACCACATAATTTTTAAAATTCATTTGAATATTAATTCATGTAATTTATTTCATGTATAACATTTCAAGATCACAGAATTCGCTAGGAAGACGTAACTTTTAAATTTGTCAATATTCTCTGCCATTTCCCTTAAATTACAGTTCTACAGTCTAAGTGACTAGGAGGTCCCTCTTTCAATAGCTCAACAGTTCTTGAGAGTTCCTTATGAAAACACCATATCACGTGCTTAGATTCTTTCTCCAGCTGCCTTACTATTTGATAGCATTTTTTACTGTTATATAATCTGACCAAAATGTAATCTTGACAGTTATTATTAGTAATGCCAATAAAATAATCCTCATTCATTTAGCGATGTCTTTATTCATCCCAGGGTATATCTAGTAGACATTTGTGCTCGCAACAGGAGTAGTCACCCACAATACTGAGGTTAAACAGTTTGTACTGTGATATAGGGAGTTATCAACTGTTTCTTTTTACATGAAACCTAAATTAAGTGTGAAGAAAACTATACTGAGTGTATTGCAGACTAAACTCTACGCCTTCTCACTGTTAGTTAATGTTAAGATAAGTTCCAAATGCATGGTTGGCATCCTTTTTCTCCTCTGGCCAGTCCCACTGTGTGTTTCCACGTATGATCAATGAAATACCTTGGCCCAAACCACTGTTACCAGTGGGACCGCATTTGTCAACCACCATGAAAAGGGAGCTTGCCTCTTCTCTTTTCTGCCCCCAGGGGAAGCTTATGATTTCTATTTACATTCGTCTTGCTTTTGAGCTTGAAGAGACAAGAGAACAAATAATCTCTGATACCTAAGTGTTTTAGGTTAGGGGTCATCCTCTCAAAATTGCTAAGGGAAGCTGACAAATGCAGTTTATCAGCCTCTGACTTTCCTGAGGTGAGGGTAGTAGGCCCCAAGTAGCCCTGAAACCAATACTTCCTTACAATACTTTGAGGTAAAGAGTAGTATTATCTCCACCTTAAAGATAAAGAACTAAGATCAAAGTAGTTAATAAAAATGTCCAAGGACATTGTGAATATAGAAGAAAAGCACAGCTACTTGAGAATGATTCCAGCACATTTAAATGAAATCATGGACATCTGTGATTTCTTTCAGAGTCAGAGGAAAACTCTGTATGTTCATCCTTCACCCTGACTTCCTGTAGGAAAAATAATAGTTTACCACTTAATCTTAGGTCATAGTCTCAGACTCCCAGGATTTAAGTGTATTATATAAATCTCTCCCCAATTCCTGAGAAGTTGTTAAACAAAGACATTTATAAATAGTAAATAGGAAAATAATATTCATACTTCAGGTCTCATGAGGGAAAAATCTTTCAAAATGCTGGCAAGAAGATCAATTATCTAGTTAATGTGACTTTTTGAAATATGAAGCATAAGATTAACAGTTGATCTATATGTAGTACATACCATTATGTAGTAAGCAAAGTGTTAGAAATAGAGATGAAATATCGTGTTGAAGATTTGAATTTTCTGTGCGGTGAATGAATACAAATATACGTACATTACATTTTATGCTTACTGACAAAATAACAAGAAAATCCTATACTTCATAGAAATAAATACTAATGACACATATCATGAAAATAACTGACTAAACAGAAGAGGAAATTTTTCTCAAATCCA